TCTTTTGTCAATCATCTGTCCATGTTGATGTCTGTCCTTTTCTACTTATATACATACACATTTTTGTTGATAGTCTATCTATTTTTGTGTTTGTGCGAAAAATAAACTTAACAAATGTGATTTAACATGAATTATATACAGAAATATATACTTAGACATATAGCTATTAGACAATCTTCTTGATATTATTATTTTTTTAAGTTTGAATCTGACACGGTGAAAGAGATTGTAGAGGAGAGAAGAGACTCGAAGCGTGAAGGAGGAAGAGAAAAGGAAAAAGAAAAGAAAGAAAACAAACATAAAGAACGAAGAAAAGAAAGCCTAACAAAAAATATTGATTGTTGGCGTGCATGAAGCTCATTATAAGATAATGAAAGGGTTGCAGAAAATAATCAAAATAAGAAAAGAAAGCTCATTATAATATTAATTGCTTCTTATTTTGATTAACTATTTTAATTTGATCCTTCGCAGAGTTGTTACTATTTTCGATTTCATCATAAGCTCTTTTCCTGATGCAATATCTTGACAGAAACAGAGAATCGGAAGCCATTGTGGAGATCAATCAGGTTGTTTATTTTTACATGCAAATTTAGAACTGACGTGTGAATATCAGATGCCATAACAAGAAAGAAAAAGAACATATATTATACCAGAATATGTTTTCTAAAAACCAGTCCCAGTTCTTTTTCGTTCTAATGCCAATGCTTGAACCAAGATTACCTAACTATTCTTCTGTGCTAAAACCACATTTTTCACATCCAGTGACGTTTCAAGGAACATCACTTTATTCATGTCCTTATAAGCCTATATATAAAAATGGGATCATACCTTGTTCAACAGTGTACAAAAAAGTTGATTCAATTCCTGTCCAATATGGTAGGCTATGAGTGCATGAAACAAGTTGGCGTCACTTAGAAAGCTCATCAATGCTTGCTAATCTGGGGGGAACATCTGTCGTCGTTAATCAATTTATCAGGAAGAAACCCCATATGGGAGAAGGGCGGCGGCCACAATTCGACCTTCTTCATTCAGTATATTGTAAGTTGACGCAGCATTCCTCTGTATGGAAAAGCGAAAAGAAAAAAAAATTAGCATACCAAAGTCATAACTGACTCTTTTCCTCATTCATAGTCAACTAAGTTGGCATGCTAAAGATTGGGTTAATGGCTATAATCTGAAGCTCTAATAGGGTACTCCAAATGGAAGCTATAAACCTACGGAAAGTTCAGAAATAAACAGGGAAAAGATTGTTGACTTTAAGGATTCTTAAGTTTTTTTATCAAGAGTCATCCGTTTTATTCTAGGATCTTGGGAATTTTATTGATATTGTAATTGATTTGTAAATGTTTTTGCACGGATTGCACTCCTTTGGTGCTCTTGAATATATTCATTTTTTATATTAAAGAAAGCAAGAAAAAAAAGTGATCAGCTAACCACCATGTAATAACTACCAGAAATTTAATGCCTTAAAAATCAGTTAGAAACTTGCACTAACAACATGGCACAGAGATTTCAATTCTCAGCTTCGACATGAAAAGTTTCAATGTGATCTGAAGGACAGGATAGGAACATTCACTGTCTTATAAGGCTTATAGAAGTGATAATTACTGAAATATACCACTCACAACAACAACCATCCCTCAAAATATCAAGAAATTAGTAATACTAATGACAATACCGAGTCAAGTACTTCCAGCTTCATTCCAGTTGAGCGAATGAAGCGCCGAAGTGCAGGATCCAGTGGTTCAATATATCTCCCACAGCCAAGAATCAAGATTTCTGGTGGCCAAAGAAGGAACAAAACTTAGCACATGCAAAAGGCCGAATCGTTAAGAAAAACACGATGATAAAAAGTACGCTACAAGGCAAATAAGTGTCATTGGTGTGTTCTGCTCCTGTGCCCTACACCTAGTGATAGGCCCTTGCAGACTAAAATCATATCAAAAGTATCATAATACTTCTTACTCTCTCCCTTTTTGACCTATCTAGAATAAAATTCTCGGGCTCATCAGGGTAAACCTGAAGATCTCCAAGAGTTAAATAGTCAAGAAACATTATGAATTTTATCTGCATATCTTATTCAATCCAAAACCGCTTATTTAACAAGAACACAAATAACCGTGTAATTACTCTCTAGATTTTTGCTGGTAATTACTCTCTCTTTCTTCTCTCTAATACACTTACATCGCGACTGCCAGTCCACGCGGCAATCGCTCTGGCCAGAATGGTCATGGGCCTTAGGAGACATTTATTAGTTGAGCAAAAGTCATTCAATGTTGTGGAAGAAGGAAAAGAGGTAAGGGTGTACGAGAATGGTAGGGGGTTTCAAAAATCCATTTTCTATCAAAGAGCGGACTTGGAATGGCTGCTCCATTGTTTCAAAGAGTTCAAGTGGAAGTATGAAGAGGGAGTTTTGGGAAGGCGTCGCGAGTCTAACTGGAGAACATTATGGATGGCACTTGGTGGTAGGAGAAGAGGGAAATTTTTGGTGTCCTCGGAAAGTAAGGAGGGGTTAGAGGGGGAATCAATAGAATTTTTGTTCCATAAGTGAGAAAGCATAGGGTTGGTGGCAACTTATGGAGGCTTTTCACGAAGTAGCAGAGATTGATCTGGTTCCTCCGAAGTGGCTTAAGGGTAAGGGAAGGGGGGCAGCATCGCAGAAGATTAGTCATGATGTGCCCTCAATAATGGTTGTGAGGTGCCCTGGGTGCAAACTAGAGTGAGAATTTTGATTAGAGTAGAAACCGGTGACGTTTGTTGAGATCCTTTGCAAACCATCCATTACCACGGAACAGGTAGGGCAGACGAGGTTGTCGGGTCAGGAAGAGGCCGGTCGGACAAGTTTGAATTTCAAAACTACGGAGAAGGCTGGTCACGTGAAGGGGATTGGGCGGGATTTGAGTAACTCTCTTCATGGGCTGAAAGGGGAAGGAAGGAAAAGATACACGTGGGCTGAAAAAGGAAAGTGGATCGACCATCCTGGGCCACCCAAGAAGATGGGAAAGAAACGAGTTAAATCATTTTGGGAGCCCAAACAGGTCAAACCCGGTCCAAGCATTATTATTCCTCCTGATGGGATACAGTTAAATGAAGAGAAAAAAAAAAAGAGAAAATCAAGTCGTGGGACTCGACTTTGCTAGGGCTCGGGAGGAAAGCGAGAGTGACATGTTAGTGACGAGTGTGGAGGATATGGCTGATGGGAGCAGCGAGTATAAGCGTGTAACGGATGCTGTCACTATTTGGGAAGGTATTTCGACGTTAACGGATGATCACAAGAATGGGGAAGAGGCGAGATACAATCTGGCGTTAGCATGTGCAGGGGGAGAAGGGTTTCCACTGACGGATGCCAGG